AAAGTTCAAAATGAAAAAGAAACAACCATAGTAGCCATAAGAAGCGACCATGGGGGAGAGTTCGAACGAAATCTGTTTTCAGATTTGTGTGACGAACTTGGCATTGATCATAACTTCTCAGCCCCACGTACACCACAACAAAATGGAGTGGTGGAACGTAAAAATAGATGTCTCGAAGAGATGGCTAGAACTATGATCAATGAGGCGAAAATCCCCAAGTATTTTTGGGCGGATGCCGTGAGTACCGCGAGCTACGTGTTAAACCGAGCCGTCATACGACCGATACTCATGAAAACGCCCTATGAACTGTACAAAGGGAGAAAGCCAAACCTTTCCCATCTTCGAGTCTTTGGTTGCAAATGTTTTATTCATAATAACGGCAAAGATAACTTGGGAGAATTTGATGCCAAGTCGGACGAAGGGATTTTTCTTGGTTATTCTCTTCGCAGCAAGGCCTATAGAGTATTTAATAAACGTACTTTGACTATTGAGGAGTCCCCTCATATTGTATTTTCCGAAGATAATACTCGCTTGGCGAGAAAGGCTATTTGTGATGATCTTGCAGATTCATTAGAGAGAGTGCACATTGAAGACGATGAAGAAGACACGCCATTATACACCAACCCGCAACCACAACCTGAGGAAACACCTCAAGTGATGGTCGAAAATGAGGACCAAGCAGACGAAGAAGAACAAGAGGAAGCCCATGAACAAGAGGAAACCGAGCTTCCCATCGCTTGGAGAACGCACAGAAACCATCCACTTGACCAGGTAATCGGCAGCATTAACCGCGGGGTAAGTACTCGTAACTCTCTTAGAGACACCGTAGGACACATGGCTTTTGTATCTCAAATTGAACCTACAACCATTTCCGAAGCAATAAACGATGAACATTGGACCTTGGCTATGCAAGAGGAGCTAAACCAATTCAAACGGAATGACGTTTGGGAATTGGTGCCGAGGCCCGATGATCGTACGATTATTGGTACGAAATGGGTGTTCCATAACAAACTTGATGAAAATGGAATAATCACTATAAACAAAGCTAGGCTCGTAGCTAAAGGCTACAATCAAGAAGAAGGCATTGATTTTGAAGAAACTTATGCACATGTAGCACGTTTAGAAGCTATTCGTTTACTTCTTGCTTTTTCCTCGTCTATGGATTTTAAACTTTATCAAATGGATGTTAAGAGTGCCTTCCTCAATGGTTTTATTCAAGAGGAAGTGTATGTTGACCAGCCCCCGGGGTTTGAGGACTTTGAGTTTCCCAATCACGTCTTCAAACTCAAGAAAGCGCTCTACGGTCTTAAACAAGCACCACGTGCTTGGTACGAACGTTTGAGTAAATTTCTTTTGGATAGTGGTTTCCAAAGGGGAAAGGTAGACACCACACTTTTTATCAAGACTAAAAACAATAACATCCTTTTGGTTCAAGTTTATGTAGACGACATTATATTCGGTGCTACTAACGAGTCTTTGTGCAAGGAATTCTCAACGCTAATGACTAGCGAATTTGAAATGTCAATGATGGGCGAGCTCACATTCTTTTTGGGACTCCAAGTTAAGCAAATGAAAGATGGCACATTCATTTGCCAAGCTAAATACTGCAAGGAGCTCCTAAAACGGTTTGAAATGGATATCATGTTTAGCATTTGCCTTTGCGCAAGGTATCAATTGTGTCCGAAGGAGTCGCACTTAACGGCGGTAAAATGGATTATGAAATACCTTGCCCGCACGGTTAACGTTGGACTGTGGTATCCAAAAGGCTCTTCTTGTCATCTCGTTGGCTACTCCGACTCGGACTTTGCCGGTTGCAAATTGGACCGTAAAAGTACGAGTGGGACTTGCCACTTACTTGGTAGTTCCTTAGTATCATGGTTTAGCAAGAAACAAGTCAGTGTTGCGTTATCCACAACCGAAGCGGAATACGTAGCCGCCGGTAGTTGTTGTGCTCAAATCCTTTGGATGAAGCAACAACTCGTGGACTATGGCCTTAGTATTAATCACGTCCCTCTTCGTTGTGATAATACTAACGCCATAAGCTTGACGAAGAACCCCGTTCTTCACTCAAGGACAAAACACATTGACATTAGGCATCATTTCATTAGAGATCATGTTCTCAAAGGTGATGTCGAAATTGAGTTTGTTGAAACACACAATCAATTAGCCAACATTTTCACAAAACCTTTAGAGAAAGAGTCGTTCTTCCGCATTCGAAGTGAACTCGGAATCCTTGACTCCACGATGATCTAAGTTGTGCATCTAAACTTTTTAAACATTTACTAACTTGAGCGTCGGAGAACTTTTTCTTTTTTGCAGGTACCCCGTTCATGAAATCAGGGGGAACCATGCAAACAGCGTTGTCCAGGAGACACAACAGCGTTGTTGAGGGAAACAACGTCAGCCAGAAAGTTTTCCAACAGCGCTGTACAATAAGCCAACAGCGCTGTCCCAGGGATTCCCTTAAATCTTCACTTTCCAGAAAATTTTTGAACATCGATGTTCCCTTTTAAACATCGTTGTCTACCCAAAACATTTTGTTTTCAACCAAAACCAGAAACTTTTTAAATAGCGATGTCTTACCCTCAACATCGATGTCCTGTTTTACAATTTTTTTTTTCTTTATCGCAAAGCGATGTATAGATACCCAACATCGCTGTTCAAATGGGTTCAAACCCTTTCACAATTCCAGAAACTTTTGAAACATCGCTGTAGGGCACTCAACATCGCTGTCTGTTTAACTCCAGTTTTTTAAACTTGACGTAGAACAACGCTGTACCAGGCACAACAGCGCTATCCTAACAGCGATGTCACTTGTAGAACATTGCTGTTCTAGTCAAATTTTCAAAAAAAATATCCGTTGCAACTGCATTAAAAGCTCCAACAGCTCTTTTTTTTAAAATTTTGAACGTTGGCCACCCTCTCTCCTATATATTTGGACCCCCTCAACTCACTTTTACACACACAAACACAATTCTCTTCAATATCTTTGCTTATTCCATCATCTCTACTCTCCTCTTTTGTGATTTTTTTTCTTCTTCATCATGGGCAAGGACAAGAGCAGGGCCGCCACCTCCGGGAAATCAAAGTCCAAATCCTGGGCGCCTACGTCATCCTCCGAGGAGCGCCTCTACTATGGCGATGGGTCATACATTTGGTTTGATTCCGAGGAGGAGCGCACCCGTTTCCTCACCTTCTTCTCTAAACGGGTTGTGGCTCCCCCCACGAATCATCCTGGAGTGTTACCCAGAGTTGCAGGCCTACGACGACCTCGACATGCAGCTTCATCAAGCCAGCCTTTGGCCGTTCGTCTACCGGGCACGAAAGGAGATCAACCCGGCGCTAATCCGGGCCTTCTACTCCAACCTCCGGCGTGAGGACAACGTGCTCTACTCGCTTGTCAAGAGCACGCCGATTGAGCTCACCGTAGAGCAGCTTGGGCGCATCGCTGGCCTCCCCTTCCAAGGCAACGATGTGTCTCACTATGGTGGAGAGGATTGGGTGCTCAACAACGAGGGCCTTATCCTCAACGAGCTTGGCATCACCGAGCTGAAACGCCATGCCTCGGGCCGCCCAACCATCCACTCCGCCAACCCCGAAGGCCGCCTCGTCCTCTACATCGTCTCCTGGATCATCAAACCCAGGAAGCACGGCCACACCAACATGCACGGTGAAGACCTCAAGCTTATCCATTCGATCATGCATTCGGCCCCAATCAATTGGGCAAAGTTTGTCATGATCAACATGAACATTGCCGCGTCAACCGAGCACGACCACCTCCTCCCGTACCCGTTTTTGGTGATGGACATCCTTGAACGGTTCAAGGTAACAACCACCGTTGGCCCGATCACGAAGGCCACGAAGCTTTGGACAATCAGCAACCAAACCTTCATCAAACGGTCGGACAACGCCGCGCCACGCCGCACTGCCACTGTCGCTGGCCCAGCCGAACCCCTAGCCCGGGCCAACCTCGTCTCCATCGCCGACTCCCTCAACCGGCTCCACCTCAAGGTTGACGGGATGGGGAGAAACCTTGAACGGCTCGACGTGGCTGTTCAACGCCAAGGGTACGCCATGAACGCGTATTTCCAAGGCATCAACTACGTCCTGCCACCACTCCACGACACCTTCCTCGGCGAAGTCTACGGTGATGAAGACGAAGAGGATGAGACCTTCTCCCATTCAAGCTCCCCGGACGAGGATCAGTTTGACGATGCCATTGATGGTGATGAGATGGACGTCGACGACGACGAGGAGGAAACCGAAGACGAAGCCTAGGACTCCCCTAGCATTTCTTTCTATTCTTTCGATTATCCTATTTTTAATGCTTCCGTTGTACTCCGCTATTTCCCTTTATTAAATAAAAGTATCTTTTATCTTTTTGTTAATGTCAAAAGGGGGAAGAAAAGGGCTATGCATATACTAAGGGGGAACGTCTCCAACAACGAGACCGTTTGATTTTAATCCGATTAATTTTTTTTTCAAGCACAAATTAAGGGGGAACTTTTTTTAACAAATTCTTGTAAAAATCAAATATCCCTTAGTATGAATATCCCCGTCTTGTTTGCCATTATCAAAAAGGGGGAAATTGTTGGAACACGGGTTTACGTCTACGTCGTACTAAACTGTGTTCGTTTTTATGACAGGTTTTGATAATGCCAAACCGCCGTGACATAAACAAGGCTAAAGTTTATACAATCAAGGCGAAGGACCATGGAATGATGATTTGAGAACCAAGAACCAAGAGTCAAGAACGAAGAATCAGAATTGCATTGAGTCAGTCTTAATGTGATCAAGACCGACACAAAATTCCAAATCTTGGCTCTCTAGGCTCAATTCATCAAAATCTCTTTTGCATATTCAAAAAAGTTTTAAACATGGCTAAAAACACTTGGAGTTCGCCCAAACCAAAAACCAAGCCATCCGGCGTTCGGTTTTCAGAAACCGGCGTTCGGCTCTCGGTTTTCGGTATTGGTTTTTGGCGTCCGAACCAACCAAGTGGTTTTCAACTTTTTATGACTGATTTTTACTTATGGGCATATTTAAATAGTTCTCCAACAAAAATGCCTCAAAAACCACCTTCCATTTTTGGTCGTTTGGTGAAAACCATGCGAAACGGCGCGAACTTGGTTAGCCGTGGTTTTCAACTAAATGACGTAGTTTTTAAGATGTTTTACTTGATTTCTTAGCAAAATGCAATTAAAAAATGTTTTCTAAACTTGGTTTTTATTTTGGAGAACTTGCGTTTTTGACATCGGCTAACGGCGTGACTAAACCAACCATAGGTCTGGCTAAACCAGCCCAACAGCGATGTTGATCTGAGGTAATCAGCAGCGCTGTCTGGCTTAGGTAGCTAAAAACATGGTTTGGCGTTAAGTCTTCCAACAGCGATCTTGGACATTAGACATCGCTGTTGAGCCAAGGTTGGATTTCCAGAAACTTCTGGAACAGCGATGTAGGCTTCCCTACAGCGCTGTCCAACCTAAGCCAAAAATATAGTGCATTGGCAGAAAGTTTTTGGACAGCGATGTTGACCCAGCAACAGCGCTGTCAGGCCAAAACTTCCATCTTCAAAGGCAGACCTAAACAACGATGTTCTAGTATGGAACATCGATGTAGAGACCTGACCGTTGGAAGGAATTTAAGGCTAAAACTTTCCTTGTTTGGAAGTCAACAGCCAAAACAGCGATGTAGGGATTTTGGGACATCGCTGTTGGCATGACCGTTGTTTCCCATTTTTCAAAACGTAAGCCTAGAACAGCGATGTCCAAGTCTAGGACAGCGCTGTCTGGGTGAATTTTAGCAGATCCAAATTTTATCAAATCCCACAAATTGTGCAAATCACCCCTTAAATACTTTGGTCCGTTGGAGCCTATTTTTCTACTATAAAAATGGGCGTTTGGGTCTGTTTTACACATCACATTACTTCACAACTCCTACTCTTTCATTGCAAATCATTCTTCAATTATTCATAGCTTTTGAGAGCCATTTTTGTGAAGCTTGTGTTGTGTTCTTGAGGGTTCTTAGTTTACTCATTATCCACTCTAAAAGAGAGTATTGTTCTTGAGTGTTTTTAGTGTTCTTAGACACTTGACAAGAGAAGGTATTTCTCTTGTTGTTCGAAGGAAGGGCTGTTAACTTCGAAGGTTCGTTAAGGTTCGTGTGACTCGAATTCTCAAGTTGTACGGGTTTGTTAAGCACCGTTAAGCTTAACGAGATAGTAGTGTAGCTCGAGAGAGTCTCTCGGGAGGCTGGATTAGCCACAAGTTGTGGTGAACCAGGGTAAAATCGGTGTGCCTCTTTACTTCTCGTTTATTCATTTTTTTTATTCCTGCGATTTCTTGATCAAACGCTATTCACCCCCCCTCTAGCGTTGGTCTATTATTCTAACAATTTTGATTCCAGTCGGGGTACACTTTTTGTTCCAACTTTCTCCGAACTGAATTCCATTTGCACCGTTGCGATTGGACAGTTAAACTCTATCCAACGATATAATTGTCATAATAATTTTTAATACTTTTTCTATTATCATATTTTTGGATGTTTAACTTTGAGAGAGTCAAAATTTATTTAATTGAAATTTACTCAGAAAGGTTCTTACATTCCATTCACATTATTTATTCTCATGATTTATTTCAAAAATCATTTCAAGGTTCAGATCATAAACAAATTTTTCATTTATTCTTAATTTGGGTCTGTACTCAGGTTCCCAATTAAAATCACACATGAAGTCAACATATTGGATTTATCTCTATGAGATTTATCCAGATTGTGATATTGAATATCAAATCATATTTCATTTTGGCCCAAAGCTCAACAATTATTTATTTTAATCAAAACAAATTTGGTTAATAAAATAATTGTTCATTAACAATTTTAGGGTATATTTTGGGGCGTTACAATACCCATATAGTATTTTCATGGCGGGTCAATCCAGCAATATATCCAATATGTTTGCCTATGTATAGATTCAGATAACACCTTATCTGTAGCCTATGAGACACAAATATCTCATCTCACACGTATTAGTCTTAATATATTATGACATCTGTATTATCATTATATTCGACTAAGGATATTTTAGATCTAGTCTCTATGTTTGTAACAGTATCACTATCAAAACATCGTTGTTCTCATCTACGTTACTAGAGCACTAATCTATGGACTAAATGTATTCTTAAAGTACACCAGATAATTTGAACAGTGTTTAGAGCCTTTATTCTTGTAATAATCAAATACAAATCATAAGTTGGCCTCTAGGGCTTACATATATTCAACAATCTCCCACTAGCACTTAGGCCAACTATGCATTTCTCGAATTCACATGGACAAAGTGTGACCCTCGTGCTTAAGCCTTCCCAATGCTTTGGTCAATGAATCTGCTAGATTGTCATCTGTTCCTTTCTTGCAAATTTCTACATCTCCACGTTCTACGATTTCTTGTATTATGTGATAATGTCTTACAATGTGCTTGGTTTTTTAGTGAGACCGTGGATCCTTAGCTTTGCAATGGCCCCAGTGTTAGACGAAAGTGCAACTCTAGAGGGGGGGGGGGGTGAATAGAGTTGTTTGCTAGAATGTGCGTAAATCGCGTGTGTGATAATTAAACAAAATCGCAGGAAAAATGTAAAGAGCAAAGGGAAGGAGTACACCGTGATTTATACTGGTTCACTACCTCGTGGCTAGTCCAGTCCTCCGAGAGACTCTCTCAAAGGTTCTACTAAACTTCAAGCTTCAACGGGTGCTTGAAAAACCGATACAACTCGAGAACTTGAATCACAAAAGCCTCAACTTCTTACAACAAGACTTGAGTCACACAAGCCTTAACAACAACAAGACTTGAATCACACAAGTCTTAGCAACACTCAAATAGGATTGAGTTTACAACACAAAAATGAATGCTCACACAATTTGAGCAAGAAGTGTTGAAATATGAAAGCTCTATGGATGACAAAATCTTTAGCACTCAATGGAAGCTCTATGGAAGCAAGAATTGAATATTGATCAATGAAGATATTGGAGTGCAAGAGATGTATTTTTAATGAAGGAGGATGAGTGTTTATATAGAGGAAAAAGAAATAAATCCGTTGGAAGTAGGGAAGAGGTGATTTTGACAGATTGGAGCGTTGGGGATCGATCCAGGGCAAAATATCAATCACCTTGAGTAAACTTCCGAAAATAAATTTTTGACAAAAGCACGAGGGATCGATCCTCTAGAACCAAAATTCCGGAAATGAATTTTTGCAAGGCTATGGCGGATCGATCCAAGCAGGTTGATCGATCCACCGATGGAATTCCGAAAATGAAGTGATCGATCTGAAGAAATGGATCGATTGCAATCCTTGAGCACAATTCATGGTGATCGATCCTTACAAATGGATCGATCCACTGACGAACAAACCTCAAACATGAGGACCCAAGACATGTGTGCGAGTGGGATGTACAAATTGGAATGAAATGTTTTGTTTTAGACAAGAAAAGATGTCAAGGAGGCTCCTAATAAGAAACAATTCACATGGGTTGAAATGAATTAGTTCAAATTCAAATTTTGAATTAAATAAAGAATTTTGGTGTAGAAATTTAGTACCAAAAATATTTTGTGTGTCAAACGACGTATAAGAAAAATATTTAAAGTGTATTTTTCTTACCACAAAAAAAATTTGTGTATCCTTAAAAAGTATTTTTAAAAAATTTGACACACTATTTTGAAACTGACTCAGTAAAATATGTTTAGACAGAAAAAATGATTTTTCAACTCACTCAGAAAATAATAATTTATATCCCTCAAAAATTAATTTGTTTATGCAAAAATTATTGTCATCGTTACAAATATTCCTAGACTCAATTAACAATAAAAAGTCTTCGGAGTCTTCACTTCGCTTCAAAAATCTACATAGGGGTGAGCGTTGATTTTTATTGCCGTAAATTTCTTGATACGCCTCTATGATTTTCACGATACAAAAAAATAAATATTCGATTATCGTTTGAATTTAATCATCCTGTTTGTCACACATCAAAACAAAAATGTTCCAAAATAATAAAGGGGTTTGAACTCATGTCCAACAATTTCCCCTTTTTGATAATAACAAACATAGTTGAGAAAAAGCAAAGTAGAGTTCAAGAAATACTTCTCTTAAATTAATTTCCCCTGCAAGGTTAGAGAATTGCAGTAAAAGAAATAATCGGAGTAATAAGCGGAAAAACGATTTTGAAAAACAAGTTTTCTCAACTATCCTTCCTTCCTCCTTTTGGCATTATCAACCGATATCCTTCCCCCTTAATTGATGCCGGGATTTTGAAGGATAGTAAGAAAATGGTAAGAGTTTTCTTTTAGAAGAGAACTCCTTAGCAAAAAATGTCAGAAAGGGACAATATGTTCTTAAAACAAAATATTGTCAAACCAATAATGATATCAATACAC